AGATATATACAGAAAACGAAAATATTAGCCTTTCGTTCGCCCGTTTATATTGAGTCCACTTTTTTAAAGTCTCAGCTATTTTTCGATTTCATAATTTCATCCATAAATAACTTTAATATATACTTCGATATTGACATGTAATTGATGCTTGTTATGTTAATAAAAACGGCTTCATCTGCAAATAGAAAGGGGGATTTTTATTTTTTGTTACATATTTAACTTTTTTCCATACCGTCTGGTATATTACTTGTTTCTGATACTTGGTGGGAAGGACACGTTTGTATTATGAAACTTTACACATATTTTTCACGCCTTTCTCTCCGAGCCGGTAACTATCTTGTAGAGACATTTTCTTTTAAAAAATATGATCCCAGCTGTTTAATCTTTCAATTTCATAGCAGAAGTGTTTAATATCCTCAATATGCGCCCTGCAACATATGTTTCTTTAAATTATTGATTTTCGAAATAATTTGTTGCCATTTTTCTTCTTCTTTTTGTTCCGTAGCCATTGAAAATCATAAAAATCATAAAATTTGACATGTTAAGCCAGCAAATAAAGAACTAAATTCGATTTGTACCAGCGCCCTACCCTTATTTCATGATCATATACAATGTTCTCAAAGCTTAGTATCCAAAAAATCGAGTTAGCAGATGTCATCTATATCGTTTCAGGGGTATAAGTGAAAGAATTGAAGTCACTCAATTTTTAAATGTTACAAATATCAAAAAAACTGTAGGATATTTGTCAGTTGAAAATTGTTCCATAATTAAAGAAATGTGAAAAGTACCTGGTGAAATCGAAAAATACGGTAATAATCTAGTAAAATTCTTAAAAACATATATGTGCTTTTGAAGTCGAGTATGTCAACTTGGTACAATGAAGAGAGGCTAAACAATTGCAAGTATAGCGGTCTACCTATAACCCATTGTAAATTAATACAGGTAACAGCAAGTGTTGTTGTACAACATTCGTAACATGCTTCAAGCAATCGCTAGATAGTGGAAAAGGCAACATTTCTTTCAAGTTGAAACCAAACATTTTGCAATTTTAGAAAACATGAAATATACGAATATGTTATCTAACGTGGTGTCGCTGTTTCTTAACCGCAAAAAAAGTTTCTGAACCACCGCATTTGGCGTTTTGTTAAGTACAACGGCGATTTTTTCTATTATGTGTTCACATTGCTCTGCAGTGAAATTTTATTTAAAAAAAAGGGTATACCTATTGCATATCAAGAAATGGAAATTAATCACAAAACATCATATCGAGTTTGACACTAGTATTACTATAAAGTCAAATCATAGCTGTTACCTGTAATAATTATACCATGATAAAAACCATAAAAAAAAACCTCACATTTACCCACGAAATAGAAATTAAGAAGAAAACAATAGATAAAAACCCTTGAAGTACAAAATTGTGTTTATAGATTCCCGTTTTGGTATGGCCCCATATAACGATCTCACCCACTTTATGGGTCTTTGAAAAGTTTAAAGTGGAACACGTCCACCAACCAAAGGTGGAGGGTATTAAAAAACTTAACGTTTTGTTACTTATTTTTTAAATAAAAATTATTAGCTTATCTAAACAAGTTAAAACCTGTAAGTTCGGCCGGGCCGAACTTTGAATACACTCCACCATTTGGCAATTCTCAAAAACAATAAAATCCGTAAAAATTCTGTTAAAATCTTAAAAATACCGAATGTAGCTGTTATATTAGGGTCTATACGACGACATGGACCTGCGTAGGAAACTTTTGTCATAAGCCATTACAATATTCAAAATCATCAAAATGCCGAATATCGGGAGGTACCGTTATATGGGGGCTACACGAAGACGTGAACATGCACAATCTTCCGTCATAGGTTGTAGCATCCATTACGAACATCAAATTCTAAATCTGAAACAGTTCCGGCGAATAATGTCGCTAAGAACATCAAAATACCGAATATCGGGAGGTACAATTATATGGGGCTCTACCAAAACATGGTCCATTTTTCAATACCAAAAGTCCTGCAGACATAACATACATTTGAGCAAAATTTTATCAATCTACTTCAATTCCAGAGACTTCAATTCCAGAGACGCTGATCAAGAATATATATACTTTGTGGGATCTAAAATGTGTATTTTGAGGTGTTACAAACGGAATGACAAACTTAATATACCCTCCATACTATGATGGGGGTATAAAAAATAATCTATCATTTTCGGCGTCCCTTTATACATAAAAATAGTTATATGCTCCATACGTTAGTAAGACGAATTGCATTTATTTAGCTTGTCTTAAACTTAAATATAGAAGTAAGAGATTTTAAACAATTTACCTTAGGGAACCTAAGTTAGTTTAGTTCCTGTTTAGCCCTTGAATGGCGCTTTATTTTAGGTCACTCCTGAAGGATCAAAATAATCAGCTGGAATATTTTGGCAAAATCTATACAATACCAGGTATATGAATTCTGAACCAAAAAGAATTATTGGCCTGACAATCTCCTGAAAAGTAATTAAGGGCAATTGGATTAAAATGTTGGGTTTGACAATCTTCTTCTCCTACCTGCCGCAAATTGATATTTAAAGCAAAAATCAGCCATTCAATAATCAAGCCTTACATGATTATGAGGCTAATATTTTCGTTTTCTGTATATATCTATCTATCTGTCTATCTATCTATCAATATATATACCCTAATATAACAGCTACATTCGGTATTTTTAAGATTTTAACAGAATTTTTACGGATTTTATTGTTTTTGAGAATTGCCAAATGGTGGAGTGTATTCAAAGTTCGGCCAGGCCGAACTTACAGGTTTTAACTTGTTTAGATAAGCTAATAATTTTTATTTAAAAAATAAGTAACAAAACGTTAAGTTTTTTAATACCCTCCACCTTTGGTTGGTGGACGTGTTCCACTTTAAACTTTTCAAAGACCCATAAAGTGGGTGAGATCGTTATATGGGGCCATACCAAAACGGGAATCTATAAACACAATTTTGTACTTCAAGGGTTTTTATCTATTGTTTTCTTCTTAATTTCTATTTCGTGGGTAAATGTGAGGTTTTTTTTTATGGTTTTGATCATGGTATAATTATTACAGGTAACAGCTATGATTTGACTTTATAGTAATACTAGTGTCAAACTCGATATGATGTTTTGTGATTAATTTCCATTTCTTGATATGCAATAGGTATACCCTTTTTTTAAATAAAATTTCACTGCAGAGCAATGTGAACACATAATAGAAAAAATCGCCGTTGTACTTAACAAAACGCCAAATGCGGTGGTTCAGAAACTTTTTTTGCGGTTAAGAAACAGCGACACCACGTTAGATAACATATTCGTATATTTCATGTTTTCTAAAATTGCAAAATGTTTGGTTTCAACTTGAAAGAAATGTTGCCTTTTCCACTATCTAGCGATTGCTTGAAGCATGTTACGAATGTTGTACAACAACACTTGCTGTTACCTGTATTAATTTACAATGGGTTATAGGTAGACCTCTATACTTGCAATTGTTTAGCCTCTCTTCATTGTACCAAGTCGACATACTCGACTTCAAAAGCACATATATGTTTTTAAGAATTTTACTAGATTATTACCGTATTTTTCGATTTCACCAGGTACTTTTCACATTTCTTTAATTATGGAACAATTTTCAACTGACAAATATCCTACAGTTTTTTTGATATTTGTAACATTTAAAAATTGAGTGACTTCAATTCTTTCACTTATACCCCTGAAACGATATAGATGACATCTGCTAACTCGATTTTTTGGATACTAAGCTTTGAGAACATTGTATATGATCATGAAATAAGGGTAGGGCGCTGGTACAAATCGAATTTAGTTCTTTATTTGCTGGCTTAACATGTCAAATTTTATGATTTTTATGATTTTCAATGGCTACGGAACAAAAAGAAGAAGAACAAGTTAAAAAGCAGTAAGTTCGGCCGGGCCGAACTTTTAATACCCTCCACCATTTGCAACGAATTTGGAAATTTTCAAAAAATAAAATCCTTAAAAAATTCTGTTAAAATTTTAAAAATACCGAATATAGCCGTTATTTTGGGGTCTATACGACGTGGACATGCATAGGCATTGTTGGTCATAAGCCATTACCATATTCAAATTCGAAACTTGAAATAAACGGTGAACAATGTAGCTAAAATCATCAAAATACCGAATATAGGGAGGTACCGTTATATGGGGACTATACGAAGACCTGGACCCGCACAGACAATTTTCTGTCACAGACTTTAGTTCCCATAACGAACTTCAAATACCAATTTTAAAACAATTCCGGTGAATAATGTCGCTAAAATCATCAAAATACCGAATATAGAGAGGTACCGTTATATGGGGGCTATACGAAGACGTGGACCTGCACGGATAATTTTCCGCCTTAGGATGTAGTATCCATTTTGAACTTCAAATACCAAATTTGAAACAATTCCCGTGAATAATGTCGCTAAAATCATCAAAATACCGAATATCGGGAGGTACCGTTATATGGGGGCTATACGAAGACGTGGACCTGCACGGATAATTTTCCGTCTTAGGGTGTAGTATCCATTTTGAACTTCAAATACCAAATTTAAAACAATTTCCGTGAATAATGTCGCTAAAATCATCAAAATACCGAATATAGGGAGGTACCGTTATATGGGGGCTATATGAAAACGTGGACCTACATGGCCCATTTACGAACTTAACCTGCCTACTGGAAAAATAAACATGTGTGCAAAATTTTAGCCACCTATCTCAATTCATTCGAAAGATAGCGTGATTACAACAGACAGACAGACAGACGGACAGACAGACAGACAGACAGACAGACGGACAGACAGACAGACAGACAGACGGACATCGCTAAATCGACTTAGAATTTTACGCTGATCAAGAATATATATACTTTGTTGGGTCTGATATGAGTATTTCGAGGAGTTACAAACGGAATGACAAAGTTAATATACCCTCCATAGTATGGTGGAGGGTATAAAAATGGCAACAAATTATTTCGAAAATCAATAATTTAAAGAAACATATGTTGCAGGGCGCATATTGAGGATATTAAACACTTCTGCTATGAAATTGAAAGATTAAACAGCTGGGATCATATTTTTTAAAAGAAAATGTCTCTACAAGATAGTTACCGGCTCGGAGAGAAAGGCGTGAAAAATATGTGTAAAGTTTCATAATACAAACGTGTCCTTCCCACCAAGTATCAGAAACAAGTAATATACCAGACGGTATTAAAGGTATGTGCTTGGAAAAAAAGTTAAATATGTAACAAAAAATAAAAATCCCCCTTTCTATTTGCAGATGAAGCCGTTTTTATTAACATAACAAGCATCAATTACATGTCAATATCGAAGTATATATTAAAGTTATTTATGGATGAAATTATGAAATCGAAAAATAGCTGAGACTTTAAAAAAGTGGACTCAATATAAACGGGCGAACGGCCGTCAATTGGTAAGATAATATGTTCATTTGTATAAATAGAAGGTGCTGATATGGATTTCTATTGTTTTTTTTTTTCTTCTTAGATTGATATGGGTTTTATTGTCCGAAATAAACACGGACCATGTTTCATTGAGTGTGGTGACAAATCAAGGAACATTTTGACGTGAATAAAAAAATCTATGAAATTTCGGGGAACTTTTATGAAGGAACTATAAGATTCAGTATACAAAGATTTGAAAAAGGTAACGTGTTTTAAAACTTGTCATTAAATTGTTAAATATAAATACTTTTTATTTTCTAGAAAAAAATACATTAAATCTGTTATGGTGTCTTCATGGCTATTTGGCCGATATACAATTAAAGGCTCACATAAGGTTTTTTATATATATTAATGAAACCATGCAAACCTTGACCTCACATATAGAATACCTATCAAAACGGAGCGAGCCAATACAACCATTTATCCTGGTTCCAGGAAACCCAAAAACGGTTGGTGTAGATATATTTTTATACCCTCCACCATACTATGGAGGGTATATTAACTTTGTCATTCCGTTTGTAACTCCTCGAAATACTCACGTCAGACCCAACAAAGTATATATATTCTTGATCAGCGTAAAATTCTAAGTCGATTTAGCGATGTCCGTCTGTCTGTCTGTCCGTCTGTCTGTCTGTCTGTCCGTCTGTCTGTCTGTTGTAATCACGCTATCTTTCGAATAAATTGATATAGATGGCTAAAATTTTGCACACATGTTTATTTTTCCAGTAGGCAGGTTAAGTTCGTAAATGGGCCATGTAGGTCCACGTTTTCATATAGCTCCCATACAACGGTACCTCCGGATATTCGGTATTTTGATGAGTTTAGCGACGTTATTCACCGGAATTGTTTCAAATTTGGTATTTGAAGTTCCAAATGGATACTACACCCTAAGATAGAAAATTATCTGTGCAAGTCTATGTCTTCGTATAGCCCCCATATAACGGTACCTCCCGATATTCGGTATTTTGATGATTTTTGCGACATTATTCACGGGAATTGTTTCAAATCTGGTATTTGAAGTTCCAAATGGATACTACACCCTAAGACAGAAAATTGTCTTTGCAGGTCCACGTCTTCGTATAGCCCCAATATAACGGTACCTCCCTATATTCGGTATTTTGATGATTTTAGCGACGTTATTCACCGGAATTGTTTCAAATTTGGTATTTGAAGTTCCAAATGGATACTACACCCTAAGATAGAAAATTGTCTGTGCAAGTCTATGTCTTCGTATAGCCCCCATATAACGGTTCCTCCCGATATTCGGTATTTTGATGATTTTAGCGACATTATTCACGGGAATTGTTTCAAATCTGGTATTTAAAGTTCCAAATGGATACTACACCCTAAGACAGAAAATTGTCTTTGCAGGTCCACGTCTTCGTATAGCCCCAATATAACGGTACCTCCCTATATTCGGTATTTTGATGATTTTAGCGACATTATTCACTGGAATTGTTTTAAATTTGGTATTTTAAGTTCCAAATGGATACTACACCCTAAGACTGAAAATTGTCTGTGTAGGTCCACGTCTTCGTATAGCCCCCATATAACGGCACCTCGCTATGTTCGGTATTTTGATGATTTTAGCGACATTATTAACCGGAATTGTTTAAAATTTGATATTTGAAGTTCGTTATGGGAACTACAGTCTGTGACAGAAAATTGTCGGAGCGGGTCCAGTTTCGAATGACCGAAAAAGCGTTATGCGGTTCATTTCAAAAAGTGGACCTGCTTCTTTCATATAACAATAGTTCGTCCAATGAGAACTCAAAATGCTAAATACATTGGGACTGCAATCAGTGAAATACCGACTATAAAGGACGCAAAATAGAAGAGCGAATTCCTTCCAGAAATTCTTCCTAAATATTCAATATACCTTTTACCGCTTTGGAAGGTCATAATATGGGTCATAATCCCCGATAACGGAACAACTCGATTTCAAGAATATTCTACATTTTAACCATATTTTTCGTACTAATTTTGGCTTATGTTGATAATTTAAGAAGAAACCATCCTTACAAAAATCGTTTTTACACGTTTTGATATCACCATCATATGATTTAAGGTATTTTCGGGGTCTTGGCCACTTCTTCCATTTTGACATCTTTGTTTTTAAGGGGGAAGAAAACCTCTTCTCATAAATTTTTTTAGTTTTCGGAAAAGGGCCCATCTTTTTCTTGAGGCTACCTTAAGTATAGTCTCCACATTAGTATACCCCCAAGTTCACTTTCCCAACCAATGTGTGGTCAAAAAAGAAAATTTTGTATTCTATTGAATTTGTAACCCCCAAGAGAATATTTGTTGGGAACGTAGATTTGGGATGTACGTCTATATGAAGCAAACTCCGAAATGTCAATCTGGGACTCATTCAGTCGGAAATTGTGGCAGAAACATGAACAAATAGGAAATTAGAAAGAAACGCGGGACCGAATATTTGTTTAATCGTCATTGAATTATACTATGATGAAAAATGTGTGTTTATTGGATCCCCAATGCACCATTTAAATGACAAAAAAATGGAGTCATTACTTATAATCAAAATTGGAGTCATTATAATGGAGTCATTACTTATAATCAAAATTGTGCCGCTTGCATAAGTCAGATCTGTGATTTATTGGGCTTTAAAAAATACGCATTAAAGCCTAAAAGTACGGGCCGGCAACGCGGACCGGGCCAGCTAGTCTATATATATAAAAATCAATTGTTGTTTGCTGGTAACGGAATCAGTTGAAAACGGCTGTACTGATTTGCACAATTTTTTGTACAAACGTTCGTTATACCCCGAGTTAGGTTTTTAAAGAAAAAAATATTGACCACGCCTCCTTTTACGCCCACTATTACGATTTATCTAAAATCTTTATATTTGTCAAAATAGTGAAGATATCGGTTTGAGAATTATTACACGAGATGCTGTTGGCTTTCCATCCAACCCTAAGTACTAATTTAGCGGCTGAGGAACGCGCCTACTTTTAAATCTATCTCTCTATATGTAAAAGAAAGTTGTGTTAGTTACTACTCTTATAACATAAAGACCGCCGGTCTGATATTAACGATTTAGACAAATTCGGAATTGCCTCTTGGCAGAAAAGAATAAAATCCAAAAAAATCGCGCAAAAATGTGAAATTTGAACATTTTCATTTTGACTTTTAAAATGTACAATAGTAATGTTTTATATTGCATATTTTTTTCCATTTTAACTTACTATTTTCGAATGTACATTTGTAGTGTTTTTTTTTTTTTTTTTGAATTCTAATATGATGTGTAGGTTTTTTTTGGGTAATATAAAGCAACAACGGATAAAACTGTTATTTATAGATTTTATGTATTTATTCGTAATACCCAATAAATAACATAATATCTATATATGAAAATTCTAAAATCGGGAAAAATCGACAATTTTTCAATGGAATCGAATTTCAAAATAATAGTACATTCTACCGACAAACTTCGTTATCACCTTTAAAATTTTGCCGCAAAAAAAATCAGCGAACCAGTTGAAGATTCTATTTCTTTTTTCTATATTGAAGTGTACAATTTTGTATTGGTTTGAATTCTGAATGAATAATATTAAAAATGAAATGAGGGCGCAATACGATGTTAAATGCTTTCTACTCCAGGACCTACATCGTGCTTCAGCTGGAATATGCGAATACATTTAAACAAACAAAAATGACCGAAGAAGCGTTATGGGGTTAATTTTAAAAAGTGGACAATAAATTGTCAAATGAGAACACAAAATGCAAAATACATTGGGACTGCAATCAGTCAAATACCGACTATAAAGAACGCAAAATAGAAATTCTACCTAAACATTCAAGATACCTTTAATCGCTTTGGCAGGTCATGATATGGATCATAACCCCTGATAACGGAACAACTCGATTTGAAGTATATTCTACATCTTAACAATATTTTTCGTACTAATTTTAGCTTATGTTGATAATTTAAGAAGAAACCATCTTTGCAAAAAATTATCACGTTTTGGTATCACCATCATATGATTTAAGATATTTTCGGGGTCTTGGCCACTTTAATTAATGCCCATCTTACGGTAATCGGAGCAAAAGAATAATTTTTTTGGCTGTTCTGACAACATTCTGCCTTCAAGTATGAGGTGGACAAAACTAAATACCACGCAGTACGGGATTTTAAACGTTGGAAATACAAATTTTAAATTATAGCTCATTTGAATGCTTTTTACTATACCAAAAATTGAGCTGAATTTTCACATGGGGCTATTATAGATGTTCTTTATTATTTAACACTCAAATTAAAGCCTATAGCTGAAAAATAAGATCAGGCTATTCAAAATATATAAAACCGACGGTAATTATAATTTTTGCCATAAATATTAATTCATATTTAGTCATGGAGTCATTACTCATAATCAAGTCATTACTTATAATCAGAATTGTGCCGCCTACATAAGCCAGATCTGTGATTTATTATGCTTTAAAGACTAAAAGTACGGACCGGCAACGCGGACCGGGCCAGATAGTATATATATATATATATAAATAAATATATATATATATATATATATATATATATATATATATATATATATATATATATATATATATATATATATATATATATATATATCTATATATATAAAAGAAAGTTGTGTTAGTTACTACGCTTATAACTTAAGAACCGCTGAACTGATTTTAATGATTCATACAAATTCGGAATTGTCTTCTATCCGAAAAGGATAATATCCAAAAAAAATCGCGTAAAAATGTGATATGTTAACATTTTCATTTTGACTTTTGAAATGTACAATAGTAATGTTTTATTTTGCATGATTTTTTTCCATTTTGACTTACTTTTTTCTAATGTACATTTGTAGTGTTTTTTATATTTTATTTTTGAATTCGAATATTAATACCAATTTATTTAATTGACTTGATTTCTTGAGAACTGAAATTGATGGCGGGTTACATGTGTTACATGTGGTGGAGAAACCGAATAGATGATATCGAAATAATTTAACGCGATCCAAAATTAAAAGATAATTACTTTTTCAAAATCGCTAAAAAATCACGAAAAAGAGATCTCATTGCAAAAATTCTCAAATCGGGAAAATATCGAAAAAAATTTCAATGGAATTGAATTTTAAAATAAAAGTACATTCTATTGACAAACTTTGTAAGGATCTTTAAACAGTTACTGTAAAAAAACAGCGAACAAGTTGAAGATTTTTTCAATTTGTTACTCTTCTTTTGTCAATTTGTTTCAATTTATATTATCATATTGAATTCAGTTGATTTTTTGGGAACAAAATAAAGAATAATTTTTCACTATATAGGGTAAATGAGCCTAAGTTCGGCATGTCCCAGTTGTCGGCACTTTTTATTTTTAAGCCCAAATAAATGAAACTATTATAACTAAATGTATTTTGTTTACTTCAAATATATTGTCAGCTATCATTGTGCAC